AAATTTCAAAAGCATCGTATTTCACCTTTTACATGAATTCTCCATTCTTTTACCATCAGCTAAGCCTGTGGCATAAACAAACCAGTCTCAGTGAGTGACATCACTGAGAGCCACGAGCTGGAACCGCTCCTGTCCGGTAGGTGGCGATAAATGCCACAGATAAGACGCAAAGAAGAAGCTGTCGCTCGCTTATGACGTGTGTTTCCCGCGACCTTTAGCTTCGGCGGTTGTAGTGGTTTTCAGTGGAGGACTAATTTGAGTGGGTTTAAAATGCTCAAAAAGAAATCAAGCACCAGTGAGAAGAAAAGGAAGCACTTTCAGTCCGAGGAGCGACATGACAGCGGTAAACGCAGGAGTACGGGGCCCGGTTTAGAGGTGAGGCTTTCGGGACTAGCGCCTTGCTAAACTCCATAGAAAAGAAGTTCAGGAGTATAACAGCCACAAATATATGTGAATACGTTTAGGGTAAATGTGAGGGTAAATTAAATTGTGTTTAAAATTTACGTACTGGTTTTAAATGATTGAAAAGTTGACGCATTTGGCGTTTTGTGTACCTCGAGTGTCTCTCGATTATTATTGTTATTATTGCGTTAATGTTATGTTTGCATCGTCACAACAACTTTATTTTAGCGTTAAAGCCTCACTGTTGGTTTGGTGCTCTCTGAGGGAAAACCATCGTCTTACTGCTTTATAAATACTTTGATTAAGTCGCACTGAATGAATTGTTTGCTCTGCTTATTCACTGCAGTGTCTAAATACAATAAAAGGAAAGTCTTAATTTGTCTTTTTTAAATTTTTTTTTTTTAGTGTAGTTAACTTATTGTTTTAGCTAACAAGAACCAATTAAAGGATTTCAGCCACTAGGCAGCAGTAAAATTTGCTTTGGATGAATTTTAATGATCCCTTTAAATGCAAACTGTGCTGCTGGATTTCATGCTGTTACACTATTTAATTAACTGAGTGTATCTTCTCTTTAACAAAAAAAAAATTAATGAAAACAGCCTGAGTCACAACATTGTGTTCAAATTATTTGTTTCCTAATCGTGGAGACTGTATTTAAGTTTGCAGAGCATATTCTGTGTATACGAGTGCAGCTGCGTGTTTTAGTTTGTCTTCCCAACTTAAAGGAATCCAAGGACGAACTTGCTGATCCTGAGCTTGACAAGATTGGCAGTGACATTGAGGAAGGGGGACTGGACCTCAGCCTGGCCTTCCAGCCCATCACAGCTTACGTCGGTGACAAGCGGGAGATGCTGGAGCAGTGCTTCCATGTGCTGGGGGAGAAGAAGCTACGGAAGATGCTTCCTGATGAACTCAAGGTGATTTGATCAAAAAAGCTTTCGTTGTCGGTTATCTGCAAAACTCAACATCTTATTGTGACTCTGGACTGATTGGACCACTTGCATCAAGCACTTGTGTGTTTCTTTAATAAATTATAATTAATACCCAAAGAATATTTTTGCCCAGATTCTTGCCAAACTTTCTGTCTGCCCTACAGTAGACCCTGAGTTTAACATTTAATTTGTGTTTGTGTTTTGTGAAGTGGTGGCACACATCACTGGTTTTCATTTCCAAACAGCTGGACTTTACCTGCTATTTTTAAATATTTGTTGCCAAGTCGCTGGTATGACTTTTCCTCTTTATCTGAAAATAAAAAGAGCTGATTAGTTCTCATGAAGACGGGAGTATCTGAGATACGTTTTAAAGATGTTGTCGTTTACAGGAATGCAGTGTAGAGGAAATCAAAACGCTGTGTTGGGAGCAGCTGGAACCCATCACGGAGAAAAATCTCATTCAGATCTTAGCAGGTAAGACTGAAGCATGTTTCTATTTTATAAAAAAAAAAAAACATTTTGAAACTTCTGCAAAACATTTAATTTCACATAAAATGTGTCGTTGTGTTAAGGGGAGGAAGTGACCGCCGGGAATGACAATGAAAACTCTGAAGAGTCTTTGGAAAGCCAGTGAGTGAAACAGTTAATCAGAGAACAACTACGCTGTGACTGTTTTTATTTCACATGTTTATTTTTCCCCCGCCAAGGCAAGACAGTATTGTAGACTCTACATCGTGCCTCAAGGAAACTGCAAAAAGCGAGGACCCAAAGCAAGGTAATTAATATGTAATGACTACAAAGAACATCCCCGAGGCGTTTATAGACTTCAAAGGCAGAAGGAGGCCGTAAAGGGACGTTTCACATTTTAAATGACTGTAATTTTCTTCGCAGAGGGTGGCGGCTCTGGTGAAGAGAGCGACGTCCTCAGCATAAACGCAGACACTTACGACAGCGACATAGAAGGACCCAAAGAGGAGCAGACCGTTAAAGAGGAGCAGACTGCGGCAGTGAAGGAGGGAGACGACGACGATGACGACAGCAGGCTGTGCACTGACCCGGCTGCAAAGCCGGAGCCGGCAAATCCAGAGCCGAAGAAAGACATTCAAAGCGACATAGACAAGAGCGTGAGCGAGATCTTGGCGTGCTCCTCCACCCCCATCAAAGACGCGGCCAAAGAACAGAGCACACCGCTGCAGTCCCCGGATGTCAGCGGACCCGTTTCTAGCGGCGACCCGGCCGTTTGTAAGCCGTCGATTCAGCAGCTGGAGCTGCTGGAGCTGGAAATGAGAGCAAGAGCCATAAAGGCTCTAATGAAAGCAAGTAACGGGAAAACCCCTCATGTAACACCAAACACGTAGCGTGTCTTTTACTTGAATGGTTAATGCTCTCAAAACAATTCAGTTTGCACATCCTGTCTTGTTTGTAGAGGGTACAGCTCAAACCATGATGCGTTTGTTTTGCTCCACATTGGAATGATTTCTAGATGGTGTTTAATTGTGTTTTTGCATTAAACAAAGACCCCTCCTCCTGCGTGGGATTGGATATCACTTTTCCAAATGTGTTTCTCCCATCGAGCACTAGATGGCAGTGTTACTCTGTCAGAGCACATCCGCAGGGCTGTGTCTAATCTGCGAGAGGACAGCAAGGGCATGTTTATAGGCTCACATTACACTGAAAGTGGTCTCGGGTACCAGTCAGAGTCAGGTTTTCTTAATAATGATGTCACTTGGAAACGCAGCTGTCCTCGAGTCAGCCTTGGAGGATGTGAGAGGATCAGAAAAGTGTGTTACTTCATAGGTTTGTAAGGCAGAGCAGGTGATTGCAGTGCTGTTTGTATCTTGTAGACACTTGAAGCCTTTCTTCACCCAACACCTGTTTGACTTGTTAAACTGAAAGCGTGCACAGGAATACAAAATCCCGCTATACTCTGCTCTGCCCGCCCGATAAGGAACCGAAAAGCCTTCAAGTGGTCATAAACTACCCACTGGCTCAAAAATGACACGAGTGCATGATATGATTAGACAGCTACCCACTCACTCCTGTAGATCAAAACAAAGACCCTGCCAGCTGTCCCACCAGGATAACTTTAAATTAAATTCTGCTTCTCGTGCTTTTGTCAGTCAGCGAGAATTAATAGCGTCTGTTAGCCTAACAGGGCAGTTTCTTTTGCTCTGATTTATTCTAAAGCTTTGCTCCAGCATAAACTGTGTGGTTGCTGCATGTATGTGTGTGTCCGTGTGCACACAATTACATGCAGATGAAGAGAAGAAAGGCTTTCTATCCCACTACCCCAAAGGAGACAATGAAATGTGCGATAAGAAGCCAGTTGCCTCCAGGTATTTGCATTTAAAAGGGTTATTTCATGGAAGAGGTGAGGGCGGGAGGGTTAAACGTGTCGTTCTCTGTGAATTTATGTGCAGGTATCTCCGCGCTCGCTGATGATGTGAAGAGGGAACGAAAATGTCCACTTTAGTAAAAAAAAAAAAGATACAAAGATTGTAAAGTGCTTGTAGCGTCTATGATGGGCGAGTATTTGTCGGCGTCATTTACTGCTATTAGAATGCCAATTACGATTTGGTGTGTGCCATTAAATGGCTTTTTAAGCAGACCTCAAAAATGAGTAGGCTGGAAAATGGGATTGATGGAGGTGAGACGATACTGTTTTGTTGAAGGAGTGCTTTGTGAATTCGAATGAACCTAATGAACCGTGTTAAAATATTGAAGCGTGATGGTTCTGTGAATGGCGCTATTATCAAAGTCAAACACAAGGTCGCGCAGGAAAACGTCGAGC